TATACAACAGAAATTGTCACTCCCTCAGAAAAGAAGAAGCAAATGTTTAATTGGGGAATACGTCATCATAAAAACGCAACACACTTTTATCTCAAAGCACGATATAGGACAGGTGGTTCAAAGAAAGAGAAAGAGAGGGTACAGCCATTTCAGGATTTGATTAAATTGCACTAATGTCTCCACGATGAAGCTATTGCATGAGATTATGACCATCAATGACAGGTTCAAGTCATTAGCAAATAACTTTCCAGAAGGATCAGTCTCTTAACTTAAAGGTCTTGATTGATGCTTAATCATCAAGTTCAGAACAAAGGATCAAACAAAGAAATGGGCAGTGCAAGATATTTTAACTGATTCTCAAGTAAAGGATTTAGCATACCTGAATTTTAGCAGTGCTTTTGGCTTCACCAGCAGATTCAGGAGAAAATGCTGAACCATCTACTTTCTCAACTGTAAATTCAACTATTCCTCTCCCTGTGAGCCTGACGCATTTAGTAGAAGAATATAACACAAACCATCTTCCTCAAAGAAATCATTAAGTAGTTATTTTAGCATGGTTGTTGTAACTTGAACACAGAGTGCTTTAAAAGGAACAGCCCAACTCAAGTTTTCCTACATAGCAATGCAATAATGTTGCTGCTGAAGTGATAAGAAACCATAATCTGAACATTTGGATATACAAAGGCACCATAAGTATCAAAATGGCACATTTACTATGCAAGATGTAATCATCCTCGGATTTAATAATCGATGTACGTACATGTTTGTCATTAAGCAACTCGCTTTTTAATAAGTAGAAATGCTATATTTAGAAGAGAAATCACAAGAGCCCTTACCTTGGGTATTTCAAGTACTGCTGAGGCAACAAAAATGATAACCCTGGGGCCTGTAGAGAGATTACGTCTTTGAGATATTGTTAACTACATCAAAAACTTTACATTGAAAATGTTATTGGAGAATGTATAATTGTGAAAATTGTAATGCATGAGAGATTTGGATAGTTTGAAGCTACGGGCTCTTTGCCTTCAAGCTTTATCCTTTGCTATATTCTTCAAAGCACAGTATCACTTCCTAAGGGCACAAGTCGAACCTTAGTACAATTTTTTTTTTCTTGTGAACTATTCAATCACAGTAACTGTACTTTCCATTACCGATTTGCCCCCTTTTCACCACAAAAGAATGTACAAAGGAGCTCATAAATACCTGTAACAACTCCAGCTGTGCAATAGTATCCAATGTAGATGCAAGACACGCGGATACTTTATCTGGATCTTTATCCTTTATGTACTGTAGAAGTTTCTGTAATCCACCCTGACAAGATAAAAAGAAAGTCATCTTGATTGCAGTAAGGTTTGTGTTTAAAGATATCATCTGTTCAGATAATTTATTAAGAAATTTAAGAAATCTGTGAGATAGCCAAAACATCAATCCTTGCGACCCTGACTGGTTGCATTGACATAATATCATACATTCAAGCATGATAAAGAGTATTACTGGAATATCATCATGCAAACTGGTAAATGTACTATCACAAGTGCATAAGATTTCACAAACTTCTGCAGCAAAACAATATTGTAAAGTAACAACAGATGTGCTCCTGCGTCAGATAGCCATCACTGATATGTACTTTTAAACTAAACAATCTAAGTTGTCTCATGTTACCTTTCCGTCTACAAGAGATGTGTACAAGACTGAACCCTCTTCTTTCAGTTCAGCTGGGATGCTAGCCAAGATGGATGCCTTTTCATCTGTTGCAATCTGAAGAGATATTGAAGCATTAGAAATATGTACTTAAAGACACAGAATAAGAGTGTTTGATAACTTCACATCCTTTCATTATAAGTGATTTCATTATTTGTTATTTGCAGAATCAAACAATCCGTCACAGTCAGTTAGCATGCAATGTTAACATCTTTGAGACTCTTTGAATTCTCTATACTATAACTCTGTTTGATGGATAGTTTAAAAGAAAAACATGAAAGGGAAGATTTCCTCCTTGTATCACAGGGTATCTTTCTGAAAAAAACACATAAATGAACAACTATTTTATTCTTGTTACTGTATGGAAATGGCCTGATATCCAACACGTCTGTTAGATGGCTGAGATCCATGTCGAAGAATGATTACCTTGCTAGAGGATCAATCATCAAGTGTCTTATATCTAGTTTGGTTGCAACAAAAATATCATGCAATACCTTAAGCGCTTTCTTCACATTACCCTCCATTGTTCCAAAAGGTTTTCGCTGTGGAATCCTGAGCAAGTATGAGATATCCTCAAGAGAATCCTGCGAGAAAATAAACGAGGAGTAGTGATACTTCATGACTTACTCTCTACACCACCAAATAGGAAAATAGTATATAAAATATATAGGCAGAACAAAATAAAACTACCTGTATAGTTTTCATATTTGTGTTGGCTGGGATAGCTCTTCTGAGAGCTAATTCTCCTGTTCTAGGGAGAGTTTTTGTTTCAGGGGAATAAAGCACTGCCTCAGCAGGAGAAATGGACAAATCTTGCAAACCATACAAAGGTATTGGAGATGCAATTTCAGTAAAGATAATGATCACCGCCATTAAACTCTGAAATTGCTTGACTGTACTCTCCAAATGTGTTGACAAAATGGAAGGAGCAGTTGGCCTCTTTGTCAATTCCTGCATGACTGAAAACCCATCAAGGAGCTGAGAGGGTTATAAAAATTGTATTTTGATCATTTTTGAAGCAACATTGAATAGTGAATACGAGTTCTCTAATAAGATGTTTATGCAGGTGCAAATATGTATGTGAGACGGAGAGACATACAGATCTCAACAGTTCTATTCGAGATAACGAAAAAAAGAAAAGATAAGCCCAAAATATGGTTTCAAATGCACTATGCTAGTGTCACAAGGCAAATCAGAAAAGCCATAGCTTATGTTACAGTTTGCATTTTCTTCATTAACTAATTTTATGGATACGTTTACCTTTGAAGACAAACTCCGCCTGTGTGAGTTCGTTCACATTGCAAGACTTACATTTGATGATCCAACAGTCGTTTTAATTTTTGGTAAGGATCAAACTTTAGAGGTGAACCAGCATTCTTTGCCCAAACTAAATATCAGAAAACAGTTCTGTTCGACTAGATACCGCGTTTAAGATAGAATAAAGACTATTGAAACTTACGATCTAAAACAAGTCTTACACATTTGTGTAGCTATAAATCATGCCATTAATTGTTAGATTGTTCCTCAATATGACAAAAAAATGATATTCTTTTCGATACAGACTAAAAAGGAAACGTGTCACATAAATTAAAACAAATAGAGTAATAAGTAAAATCATACAATCTAACTATTCATAATTCTATAATGAATGACACAAGGCACAATACATCTAGACACCTCAACTTGATCTCGTGGACAGTTAATGCTGACGTGGCACATAAATTTTGAAATGTATTTGGATGATTATTTTGTAAGTTGGAGTGATCGCTTGCTAGAGTGTCTGTTTATGTATTACGCCATTGCACAAAAGAATGATGAAATTTCAACAGAATTCACTCTTGAGAATATCTAAATTTTGAGCAGAATTGAACTAACCATGGAAGCATTCTTCTTTGAGGCAATGCGAGTGAGTGTAGCATAAATTGAGGAACGAAGTGGAAGATGATTACGGAAGAAAGCCTTATTTTGGAATAAATGGGTGAAATTTGGAGAGAAAATGGAAGAGGATAAAGGGGAAGCCATTGAAACAGAGTTGTAAGGTTCTATCCCTATCCTCTTTTATCTTTCTAGCCTATCTCTCTTTTCTCTCTCTCTCCTCTCCTTTTTTTCCCCCTTATTTTATATTTGTCGTGTTTGATTGCACAAATATAATTACACAGTTAAAATGATATTTAATTTAATTAATTATAAAAGGTAAAAGTATATATTTTGTAAGAACAATATATAGATAGCATGTTTGACAAAAAAATTAATATAGTAAAGGTGTCTGTTATAAATATAACGTCATAAAGTTAATATAACTACACATTTAAATTGATATTTAATTTAATTAATTATAAAAGCTAAAAATACATATTTTATAAGAACAACATGGAGGGTATGTTTGACAAGAGTTCATTTTGGGCATTTAGGACTAATTTACGAGAACTAGGCGATTTTCTCAGATTTTCGTGTATTAGCCCATGAATATTTTGGCGATATAACTTCCGGATAATTTCTTTGTGAAACCTTTACGGAATCCTCCGTAGGGAGTTAGGGGAGCAGTATATATAGTCTCGCAATTTTTAGAGTCCATTCTGGGCATTTAGAGGCAAATTTAAAGAAATTAGGCGATTTTCTCAATTTTTCATGTGTAACGCCCATGAATATTCTGGTGATATGGCTTCCGGACGAATTCTTTGTGAATCCTTTACGAAACCCTCTGTATGTAGTTGGTGGAGCAATACGTACATTCTTACAATTTTTAGAGTTCATTTCAGGCATTTAGGGGTCAATTTATAGGAATTAGACGATTTTTCAATTTTTCGTGTGTGTTAGCCCATGAATATTTTGGTGATATGGATTTCAGAAGATTTCTTAATGAGACCTTTATGTAACCCTCCGTAGAGAGTTGGGGGAGCAGTACATACAGTCACACAATTTTTAGAGTCCATTTTAGGCATTTAGGGGCCAATTTTTTTAGTTTTTAGTGTATATTAGCCCATGAATATTTTAGTGATAAGACTTTCGATCAATTTTTTTACAAAACCTTTATGAAACCCTCATGAGGGAGTCGAGGAAGCAATATGTGAAGCCTCACCATTTCTCGGACATATTTTTATGACATTTAGGAGCCATGGTAATCAGAGCGACATAGTTCTCAAAATTTCAAAATGAAGAGCTTTTAACAAAAATAAAACAAAATAGAAGTTGTGGCTAGCTAGATGAGGCAGGTTTATGTAGGGCTAGTTGAAAACAAAAAATCTACTACGTGAGACAGAGTAATTTAGGTTAAGCTTGAGTCTACTCCGATTTATTTTGTCCACCATCTCTACAAAAGCCTAGCGCATCATTTGTGGTTCAAAGAATGGAGGAACAGTTACCACTTGACTTCTCCAATTCTCTACATTTGCTTTCCAACCTATAGTCGTACCATCACCAAACAATCAAACAAGTTAGTAGGCATTTGAACATAAGTTTGATTAAAATTCAAAAAGAGAGAAGCATTTTTGAAGTTGAAATTAATATAAAGGTATTTGAACAAATATTTCACTTGAGAAAAAGTAAAAAGTTTTATGAGCCAAAAAAAAATATTTCATTTGAAAGACATATCGTAAAAAACAAATTAAAAAAATGAGTGCAATATATAATCAGGCAATGCTTTGAAAAATATTGTAAAAGGTATTTTTTACTAATCAAATAAATTAAGTCATTAATTATTAGTGAAAGACATTGTATAAGCTGATAATATTTTTGAAGGATCCGAATAATATATATATAGGTTGACATTGAAAATCAAAGTCCAAGTTATACTTATATCATATATGTGTTGTCGGCTTATGTTGTTTAGACTCTTTAAAAATAGTCAAGTGCGTATTAAATCCTCTAAAAATAGAATATTTTGAAAAGGTCCGACAAGAGTACGACAACATTTTTGAATAGTTCGAACTGCCAGCGCATATAACTTAAACTTTGCTCATCACTTCATGAAAGTTTAATTATTACTTATATTGTTCAGACTCTTCACAAATAATATTATCGGATGTGTGACAAATCTTTCAATAGTAATACATGTTTAAAAAATTCAACACAAATACATCAAGTATTATAGAAGCAATATAACAGTGTCAGTGCGTATAACTTAAACTCTGGTCTCGACTAGATGAAAGCTCAAGTAATTACCCATGGTGGGATCAGCTCCATGGAGTTTAAGTTCTCTATGCTCTTGGCAAATTGCACAAAAACAACAACATCCATGTACTATGTTATCTTTACATGTTTCCTTTGGCAAACCTAACAATTTTCTCAATTTGGATCTGTAATGAAATCCATAACCACCTTGGCACCCTATTGAGCACAGCAAGAAGTAAATTGTGGTTGCTGCTACACAAGCTGCAAAAAAAAGGAGGTAATTTCAAATTTCACATATAAAATTTCGATATTCTAGAGTTTTTTCAAGTTAAGTAATGTGGACTTATAACTCAAGTAGGGGCGTCAAGGTGGAGGTATATTTGGCCGTCCTTGAAAAGGGCGGGCTTGGTGGGCTAATCTCTGGCCTGCCCTATGGAAGCACATAGCTAAATCGCGAGGCTCAAGCAAAGGCATGGGCTTCTTGATCGATCTCTAAAGTGGGGCGGACTCTTTGAGGTTGATTTTACATGACAACGTTCTATAGTTTACCAAATTGAGTATCACATGATAGGATGCGCTCCAATATACCACCACCTTTTTGCTTTACTAGCTAGGTCTAATTATTTTTCACACAGATATTTTAATATACTAAATTTCACTTATAAAATTAAGAACTTCAGGACAATGACAATTTTATTAAAATAAGTAGATGATATTTCTAAAAATAAAGAGATTAATGCATCATTCTCCCCCATGGTGATGGGGCATATCCATAGCTGGCTAATGTAACCACTTAGTTTGGTGTCCAATATATATTTTGGAACTCTATTTTTGAATTTACGCTGGAAAATCTCACTTTAACGGTGATTCTTTAGCAAAGATGACCTATTCTTTGAGCTCGAATCTAAGATGTTAATTAAAAATGAAGAGGAGGTACTTACCACCTAAGATTTATGTTAAGTTTTCAACAACAAATATGCTGTATAATCTCACAAGCGGGATTGAAAAAAAAGGAAGACTAAACTTACATGTTTCTCCTTTTGATATAATCTCAGCATTCTCCCCCATGGTGATGCAAGGGAAAAAACAAGTAGTCACACCTTAAAAAAAAAAAGAATTATTTTAGAAATTGGAGTTTGCAATAATAATGAACACACACAAAATGCAAAATCAAACTATACAGTTTATAGGATCATTGAAGCAATCACAAAGACCACTTGACCATTGACCCTCCAATACATGCATCTCTGTTGATGGCATCTTGCAAAGCAAAAATAAAATAAAATGGAGGAGTAGAAAGGGTTATTTTCAAAATAATTATTTAGAATGTAAGATAGTTTTTGTTGGAATCTTGTCTTTATAATACATTAAGATCATAAAGAAGGTTTTAATTAATTAGGTCAAGATTTAATAGTGTATAAGCTACATTGTTTCTTTCCATATCTATTCTTATAGGTGCCTATAGCCAACTCTATTTTTTTTTTAAAATTCACCAAGTATTTGTTATCATACTGTCGTTTGACTAAATTCAAAATAAAATCAGGAGTAAACCGTTTTCTACCAAAAGCAACTTCATATCCAATAAGACTTAAATTCAAAATCTCGAACTAATGATGTACTTATCATTTGTAAAAAAAAAAAAAAAAAAACTACACACTTCTTATTTTTAGGTCTTATTGCGATGACTCTAGAAAGTACAGAATGAGGGACAACTAGAGAAGTAGGGTAGGTTTACATTAATGATATTTCTCTCTCAATTTCATTTCAATTTATTTAATCTTAGTCCATCTATATTTGCAAATAAATAACTTTATACATTTCATTTACTCTAAAGTCTAAACTAAAAAATCGCCAAACATTTTTAAGATCACAAGTACATTTTTAAGAACACATTTTAAATTTTTTAAAAATAGATCTAACCCCTGAATATGAAGTCATTTTTATTTAAAAAAACATGTTACCTAGAATTTTTCGACGTAAACTTTAATTTTGTCAGACCCTAATATAAATATTAAATAAAAAGAAAAATAATCCATTATACTCTCCCACATCGACAAGTGAGCAAAGTATGAAGGGAAGTAGATGAATATAAAATCAAAAGTTGTAACTCATTTGAAGACTTAAAAAGGGTCGGTTGGCTAAATATGCCACTCTTGCCTGCGTGGCGAGTGCTGTATGGCTATCAAGACATATGGCCGACATAATTTCTGGAACTCTATAGGGTTGGCTCCCTGGCCGACCCTCCATTTCAATATTAAAATTTTTAATTTTTGCCAATTTATAATTTGCTTCCTTAAAATAATTTGTGTTTAATTAATATATTTTAAAAATAAATTTGAACAGTAAGTATTATATAATTCATATATATTATTATATAGTATCAATATAAAATAATTATTTAGACATTAGAACTTCGACTACTTAACTTTGATTGAAATGTTCAATGTGTAAGATTAACAAAGAGAATTGAACTTGTACTTGTATTTGAATATTTCTATATGAGCAGGGCGTTAGTATGATATAATCGAGAAGTTCAGAAGTCATAATTTTCTATTATATGCGTTAGTATGATATAATTGAGAAGTTCAGAAGTCATAATTTTCTATTATATTTATATATGTAAGTCAAAGTCCCGTACCGCAAAATACTGTAAATGAACTTTAAAGTATCAAACCATATCAAATTAATTTGGCGTGATGATAATATAGTATTTCCAAAAATCGAAAACTGAAATTACTGAATTTAAAGGGAATAAAAGAGTGGAAAGTATATGTACTTTTAACTTGGTTGTTGAAGCAATGAAGTTTCCCCTTTCACTGTCCCTGAACAACAAGCAAACTCTTCTCTGCAGTAGTAGAATCAGAGTGCTCCTTCGAAACCAATTTGCCAATTAGCAAGCATTTCTACGTGACATTGACCTCAGAAATACCTGTCTGTTGGGAAACCAGTCCGCCATTATGTCTTCCCCGAGCAAACGCGTATCTCATGAACCAATTGCAATGATGTAGAAGTCATGTTTACCACCTGCAGTCGCAATAAAGTTTCCTATTAATAAACGACCTTTTCAAAAACAATTTTGTAGAGGGCAGGTATCGCACAATAGAATCAGACTTTGTTATGAGACTACCAGACGAGTGAGCAAACACAAATCTACTTGCAGGAAGCTACATTAGGATGAATTAACACAAGCAAGAGTTGGGCACCGGAAATATGAGAATGGTTAAATGAAACTTGATGTAGAGAAGAAATTTGCCTGTGTGAGCTTGCTCATGTTGCAGATCACAAGCCTGTATAGAGGAAGGTTGCAGTAGGTTGACATCCTACGTAAAACTAGTCAATTATGGACTAAAATTGGAGCGACATAACAATGAGGATTCATATGGCTAACTACAACTTAGTTGGGATTGAGGCATAGTTGTTGTAATGTGCAAACAAAAGCAATGAGTGAGACGCCCAATTACAGCAAAGGACTTTACCTGGGAGTACGTAATAAGACAAAAACCCGTCACTGTCCTTGTAGCAGATAAGAAAGATTCATAGACTAGAGGACTCCCAGCTGGCATAAACAGCTCCAATTAATTTCTCATGCAGCTTAGTGCCAGAGCAAGCAACTATTCCCCTATCAAGACTTTCCAAGTATATCCCTTTAGAAAAATCAAGTGAACGCCCTCCTGCATCAGTCACCACACCGCCGGCCTCTTGTACAATTAGAACACCAGCTGCATGGTCCCAAATCTTCTCTTTGTACCCAGCTCTAGCAAATTTCATGAAAATTTCAGCATCTCCCTGTGCTATGGCAGCATATTTTACCATGCTATAAACACGGAGGGGCTTGTTTCTGCCAAGGGAGATTAATATGTTAGCGAACACAACTTATCACCCTGAGAAGGCACACCCCAACATGAAGTACAAGAGAACAGTGGAAAGATCCAATTGTCTGATGAAAAATATAACAGGATAAATAGATAACCAACAGTGGCAGAATTTTGGAGTCAAAACATTTGAAAATAATTCACAAAGGTCAAATAACATATCAACATGTTTCTTTTTCTTTTCTTATTTTTTTCCCCGTTAAGTATGACATCAACAATTTTTTCCTTAAGCAAGTGTACAATGCTAGAAACAAGTTTACATTTTCAAGAAGGAAGAACATTGGACTTCCTGGTGCAGTTAATGAAGCACCTGGTTGACGAGCAGTTATCTATGCAATTACGGTATTTGCTGGCCGTTGTTTTTGCTGTTTAAGCCTTTTATAACTAAATGAATTCTTGGAGGCCAGCTGTAGACTGGCAGCAAATTACTAGAGATAGTTTATCAACAAACCTAAGCCCAACAGAGGAAGCAAGTCCAGCTGCAAAGGAGTGGTTTGAATTAGCTCTCTCAACTGGCTCACAAAAAGTTGCCAATGCTGGATCATCAATTGGAGAAACACGAACTTGTTTGGCAAAATTTGGCCATTCATATTTACTATCACCATAAACCGTTGGCTGCACCCAAGCTTCACCAGTACCTTTTTTTGAGTACATCACACATCCTTCTTCCAACATATCAGGTGAGGGCACTGAAACTTCTGATGAAATATGATTTTGCTGTTGCTTATTATGCCTGTCCCTTTTCATATGATAATTAGGGCATCCTAGCACTCCAACTACAACCTCCGCATTATCAATCAACGCTAAAGCTACAGCATATTGACCTCCACGCACAAACCCCAGTGTACCATCAACCGGGTCAAGAACCCAATGCCTGCCAAGAGGGCCCCCATTTGAATTGCAGCGACTAATAGCCTCCAGAATTTCTGAAGGCCCCAGGGTTTTATCTGGACCTTTCAGACCATATCTAGAAGCTTGTGCTAAGCATTCATTGGCAGTGCTGACAACTTTACCCAATAGACCTGCTGATTCAGGCTTGGAAAGAGTTTGAACGTCCTCTTCAGCTACTATGGAGACATTTTCGCTACCAAAAGTATTTGAAAGGATCCAGCTTACAGTTGCTTGCACACTCCAATCTATCCATGCAAAGAAATTGCAGGAAATACTTAGTGTGCATTGTAGACAATCTATGCAATAACTTTAAAAGATGCAAACTTGGAAATAGTAAGAACTTCTTCCACCCTGAATAATTGAAGGAATAAAAACAAACATTACAAACCAAGCCCCCTTTTTTTTTATAAGGTAATTTTATTAATGAAGCACAGCACTAAGATAGTACAGCACAGATACAAGAAGCAGAAAAGCTAGCCAGGGATCCTATTGTATTAAGGAACCCAAAAAATCCGGCATTATATCAACATCCAGAAAAATCAGCCTTATACCAAATTTTTAAGTTCTGAAAACATTTATTCTTAAATAATAATACTTCCTCTGTCCAACAATAGTTGTCCACTATTGACTTTGTACACTTCTTAAGAAACTATTTAAGGGTAATTTTACTATATCACCCTTTGAAAATAATAAATACAATGTCTTGAAAAATGTAATAAGGAATGACTATAATTAATGATAAGGGTAAATTAGTAACTAAGTGTAAAATTATTCATTGATTTCATAAAGTGGCAACTATTGTTGGACATCCCAAAATAGTATAGTGGACAACTATTGTTGGACGGAGGGAGTATAATGCTTTCCTCCTTTCCTACAAGCAAAACCGAGTCCGTTTAAGTGCAGGTTTCTATTAAACACTATCAGAATCCAAAAACAATCTAAACAGTCTGAGCAAACAATCAGAATATGCTGTTTCACTCCTATAAAGTAAAAAATGAGATATATCATTAAGCAGCCAAAATAAAACCTCAAGCATCTGAACTTTTATCAAGCAATGGAAAAAGAAAAAAATTTACTAATATCTCAAAATTCCACACGCTGAACATTTGCAATCCATGTATACAATGAAAATACTTGTTGAATAATTAGGATTTGATATCCATCAATCAGTACGTCCATAAGAATCTTAATCAGCATAATTACTTCACCACAGCCAACTTTCTCAACAATTATTCAAATGATAATATGTTGAAGACATGGAATATTGACCCTAAATACAAAATTTAGCAGCTGAAAGTGTCACTAATCCTGTTAACTAAACAAGGTGAAGAGATTCAAAAATGCACCTTCTTACCTGACATTTTGCCTAATCGTATGATCCCTTCACTAGTCAAACTGAAGACACAACATGAGTGGCTACATGAAAATTATTCATACGTCAAGCAAGGGAAGTCATTTTTATGGGTGTTCTCTTGCATATTAGTGAACTCAGAGCAGCTGTATCAACTAAGACAGAACTTGAGACTCATAACTGAAACTAATCTACTGCTTGACCATTGGCTTTGAAGCTGACCATATGGTGAATACCTCGTGGAAAATGAGAAAAGAAATAAGAGGTTCAAATTATGTGACCATAGAGTGTCTCTATTGATAATTTATGTTCCTTATTTAAGTTAGGAGTCGAAAGATTGAAAAGCTTCGAACTAGATGTGAGTATCAAAGTGATCCTTAGGGTTACTGCTACTGCTTCTTAACATAACAATCACAACTGCTCGCAACCCCAGTGAACTTAAAGTGCTTGTTAAGCATAAAGATCAGATATAAAGTATTAAGCAAAAGACAACGGAGTGAAGTTTTTGTGTCTTGTAAGAATTCCAAGGATGTGACCTAAAGATCAATGAAGAAGGATGAAATCAAGGGAGATCAGGGTCCAAATCCCAGTAAGGGCAAAAAAATGTAGGTGATTCCATTATATCTACTAAGTCTTGTGGATAGAGTTACTCGATATATGTGTTGGGAGATAGCAAGTACCTAGTGTAATTGTTGAAGTGTGCACAAGTTAATCCAAACATCACCATATTAAAAGAATAATTTGGACTTGCTTTTTCTATTAGGCTTCTAAAACCAAGCATGTTGAGACTAACCAACAGTTCCCATGATTTAAGAATTATGAAATAAGTCGAAGTAGAAACATCATCATTTATCCGCCATCCAAGAATTTTCAATTGTCATGTGAACCCCATTTCTTTGCAGATGATTAGTGAACAATGAAGATGGATAGGCAATATTTTATGTTATCTAAGGAAATGAACTTCAGAGATTTTAAGGTCAATTTCCACTTTCCAACTACTTAAAAGCATGTACTTGCCTCTGAAAAGGAAGTTTCTCCTTTAACAGTTCAGGAGCACCACTGCCAGATAAAGATACATTAAACTTTCATCAGAAAAGGAACATCATTTGTAGCCCTTGTAGTTGCACAATGTAAGCTAGTATAAGAGGGTATTTGTTTCAACTATACAAGCAATGTAAAATTTATAATATCTTAAGAGTAATGAGAGCATTCTCTACATAAAATTTTATACCAAAAGAAATGCTAATTCCACTCTTTTGCTACTTCTTACTTTCTTGTTTGTCGCTGAAAGAATGGTATTAAGAAGTAGTAGTTTAGACCTTCACTTCTGCACAATTCTAGATTTATATTCCAACGATTAAATGAGGTAGAGAAGAGGATTCTACTTCTCTTCTGGACTCAATAAGGCATCTTGACTAACAAGTCACGAACAAAATCTTTGTCTTTGAAAAGTGGACTTAGACTAATATTTGGCTAAGGTGAAGCTAAGAAAGTTGTGAAGGAATGTTTCAAATAACGCAAATAGATAACTGAGTGATAAAGAATAACTGAAAGATATTGATTAGTTGGTTGTATCACAACTGTGTTATATCCATTGTTGTAGAAGATGCGTTATTTATAAAAGTAGCAGTTGGTACCAGGTTCAACTCACTATCTAATCGTGCTAAAAATTATATTTCTAAAAACAGGGCAAGATTTACTGAAATGGCATAGTGTGTGACTCATTCAGCGACTCCTATTGCATGTCAACTAATCGTGTTGCGGATAGTGTTCGGCCAATGTTTCTTGCTTCCTACTCAAAGGGTAAGGGAAAGCAGTTACGCTGACAAACAGTGGCAGAGCATACTTTAATAAAGTGTGTTCATACACAATTCTTGTATATGTGTGTAATAGGCCAACACTGTTTAATAGTAAAAATCAATTTGAGACCGGAATTAAATTCTTAAAATCACCACAGTAAATGGTCACAACCACATACAAGTTGAATTGTGGACAATAAGCCAACATTGCTAGCATAAACTCCTGCATACACCACTACTGTCAAAGTCACTACAGTGAAAGATAGTCAAATTCAGTAACTTCTTTAACTCGTATGGTTGTGGTTACGGGGTTCAAGCTGAATCATTTTTTCTTGGCAAAGCCAATGATGCATCATGCCCTTAATGAACAAAGGCCTAATCGCATGTCCAATTCAATTTGAGAACTTAAATTTTACTATTAACACCCTTTTCCACTACAACTTATTCCTACTTTTAGCTCCCAGGTATATGAGAAAGCAAGTAACAAATTCCCATAATCCAGGGTACTTTCAACACCTAAAATTAGCTGTAAATTCCTAGTGAAACAAACAGCAGCTTAGGGTATCGAAAGGGGACACCTTTGTCAAAAAAAAAAATTACTTCTTTATATTTACAATCCCTTTTAGTAAAAATCCTGATTCCGCCACTGCTCCCAATGTAAACAAATATGCTCCATCTCAATGTGATTATCTACCCATACTTACGAACTGTCGCATCCATACAATTCCCCATTATAAAACAAAATTGCAAAAAATCAAAAGTACCTGCAATAGTAACAAGAGAATCATCATCTTTAGACTTAACCTCATCATCATCCAATGCGTTACCAAGCAAACCCTTTTGCACCTTTTGACAGAGACCACACGCCATATGCACAACCCTCACAGCCACATTCAATTCCTCCGAGTACTTCTCCTTCTCCTTCTCCATTGTTTCTCAATACAACAAATTTGAATCAAAATCCACAATTTCACAACCCAGAAACAACTCCACCGGCAGATTTCACATTCATATTTTAGTTTTCTGATAGTAAAAGAGAATCTCTTAGCTACGCTACTCCACCGGAAAAAGTGCCTTTTGTATCTTCTTTCTTTTACGGCTTAATACATTATGCTCCACTTTTTCTGCGATACACACCAATAAAATATGACACGTCTTAAAACATGAACGACTAATTAAATTTGTTAGTAAATTTCATATTTTGTTGTTCAACCCGAATAATATACTCGTTAACTTAGATTTATCTATCATCTACATCCTCTAATATTGATTATGCACAAGTACATATTTAAACACACATGTTTATGAGATATAATACACATAGGATACCATATATGTCATAAAAATTGCTAGGTAAGATATCACGTAAGACTGTGTTTGTTTTTTTAATTTTATATAAATTTAAGTGTTTAGTTTTTCATATTTGATTTTAAATCTATTTGATAAAAGACTGATTTGATGTTACATTGATTAGTTACTTGATTTATGTTTCTTTTTTACTAGTCATTTAATGAGTAGTTTAACCGCTCTTAATTGTTTCTTTTTTATTTGGCTTATACAAAATTTAAATATCATAGTTCGAGTTTGGGTTGTACCACAATCCATTTAATTAGTTGGATTCAAAATTCATTACTCGTATATTATTTAGTAATAATTTAAACATAGTTACATCATTAGATCGGGGTCGATAGGTGGTAGTTGGCATACCTCAGTAATCTCAGTCGTAAACGATGGATACTAGGCGTTGTGTGTATCGACTCGCGTAGTGTTGTAGCTAACGTGTTAAGTATTCCGCATGGAGAGTACGCAGGGGCGGAGCCACGTAAGCTCCAGGGTGTCCAATTCGTCGAAAAGTTATACTATACATACACGTAAAATTTTGACTTTATATTGGTACATATAGAATTTGAACGCCCTAAAAATAACAAAGTAATGCATAGTGGAGTTGGCAATAGCCATCGCAATGTTACTCTATACCTCAGTTTGATTCCCCACATGAGTGTTTCATTTTTCTGTAATTATTTTGACTTCTTGAATTTTATTAAGTAAATAAACATGTGTATCTTTAATATAAATGTTCAGTAGCATGGTGGTTAACAGTGTCATGATTGGTTTTAGGGACTCAAGTTCGAATCTTATTAAAATTAAATTATTTCCTTAAATTTTAAAACATTTTCGAGTACAATTGTAATAATATATTTAAATTATATTTTCAATAGTAGTTTATTTTGTCTTTATGTTAGTTTTGAATTATACACTTGTAATTTTATTTTAAAAAATTCTTATATTTAATTAAATATTGCTTAACTTGATTATTTGTTTTGATAATTTAAAAAATCTTTTTTTTTTTTTTTAAAAATACTATTAAAGTTTGGACACCCTTCATGAAATTCCCGACAACGCCATTGAGAGTACGTTCGCAAGAATGAAACTCAAAAAAATTGACGGGGGGCGCATAAGCGATGGAGCATGTTATTTAATTTGATACAACGCGCAAAATCTTACGAGGACTTGGTATTGATCCCCAAAGAAAGGAGAAACTGCGATCGAACTCAAATTCTGAAACATGTTATAGTAATTAGATATCAATTTATCAACATTGCATCATAAAAACATGTTGTTGGAACTTCTTATCAAATTCACACTGTTTAAGTTCATTTCACTCTGATAATAAATTATTTTATTCTAATTCATTTCAATCCAAAATAATTTAGTTATGAGGCAAATATGAAAAACTAAAGTCTATATACTAAAAATGATATGAACTATACAAAGTGGTGCTACAAATAAAAATTAATTAGGCCTATCAAATCTGGTTTTTTTAATTAAAAGTCTAGTCCTTTAAATTTGAGGATTTCTTAGAGATCGATTTATTCTAGGCAGAAATTGAGCATAGAAAATCTTTCATTGAATATAATTATTTCTATATATTTGGAAAAAAAAACTAATTAAATGTTTGAATTACGAAAAAAGGAAAAATAATATTTGACTATGACCAATATGTATTAAATATTACGAAAAAAGAAAAAATAATATTTGACTATGACCAATATGTATTAAATGTAGCGTTATTTGGTCAACTAACAAATGGTAATAATTATGACAATCTTGATTAGTAAATGTTCATCTAGTAAACAAATTAACAGATAATTCACAAATCAATGCATCTTTATCCCACATTAATTGTAAAGTCACTTGAATTTTTTAAAAAAATCTACCAATAAAAAAGGAAATATACATTTTCATACCACTTACTACCTCCGTCCACTATTAATTATCATACTTTTCCATTTTTAGAGTCAAATTATAAAAAAATTGACTAACATTTTATGATATATTTTTTTTATCATATTGATATACAAAAAATTACAATGTATAGTACTTTTTGTATAGTTTTTGAATATCTAAATTTTTTGTTTAAATTATTCAATTAATGTAATCTAATTTAACTTTGAAAATTAGTCAAATTGACTTTTGAAAAGCACAATATGACAAATAAAAGTTGACGGAGAAAGTGCTTTTCTTTTCTTAAAAAAAAAGATAGAGGAGGCAGTAACTTATTTTCAATTTATTATTGTTTAAATTTTTTAAAAATATATAACAATTACTATGTCTTATTAAAAATAAAATACTTAATAACTTAGATATTTACCAAATTTTCAATCAAAAATGAAGGAAAAAAGAAGATTTTGTAAATTAATGATATATTTTTAAAATTATCAAACTACAGAGTTCTTAACAAGTGGTCGATTCTCCACTATAAATAAGACCACCTAGTGAAGTCTTTTCATTGTCACAAAATTCACATTTTTCATTCATTTTCTTCTTGCAAAGAAAAAAATGGCCATCAAATTCAATCCCATCCTAAGAACACTCTTAGTGGTGGTTACCATCTTTCTCCTCCATGTCTCCGCCACACAAGGCGGTCGGAAAGAAGTAATTTCAGGTGGTTGGAGAAAAACTATAGGTCTTTGGAAGCCCATAACCAATACAACGGACCCTAAAGTGGTGGAGATAGGAAAATTTGCGGTGGATGAGCATAATGAAGAGGAAAAAACAAAATTAAAGTTTCAAGAAGTAGTAAAAGGAGAATATCAAGTTGTTGATGGACTAAATTATCGACTATTAATCTCTGCCAAGGATGGTAATTCACTACACAACTACTTGGCCGATGTGTGGGTCAAGCCAGGGGGGAAATCTAGGACCCTCACTTCTTTTGAAGATTGTAATTTAATAAACGGAAACAATGTAACATGTAGTTTTAATTCATTTAGTTAATTGAAATCAATGAAATGAATCTCCAATTGGTATGAGTATATGTTTTCATGATTTATTTGATTTTATGTTGTGTGGTCTCTTGATAAGATTAACATTTTAATTACTATTCTATGCTTGTTGCATTTTCCCTTATCATCAAAAATATCTCAATTCTGATTAATAATAATCTATTATAGGAATTTCTATCTAGTTCACACTATTCAAGTTTATTTCAATTTAATAACAAATTATTTGTTTTTTTTAAAGTACTTTTAAGAATTCTATATATGTCATATATAATAATTAATGTAATAAATTTTATAAAACTTGATTTTCTTGAACTTCTTTTAGAGACAATTTGCAGGTCTGTTCTATAATTATAGTTGTCATCGAGGAATATGAGTAAATCTTATAAAAAGGTATTTTATTTGACCGTCCTCATTCAATTAGTACTTTAGTCGCACACATCTGAAGTTATCCCAACGATATAAACATGACAAAAAATACATTAAGTATACATTGATTAAATGATAGCCCCAATACTTGATTCGGAATATGATGCAGATGGATCCCTTCACCTTTTAATAAGAAGTTTCGCGTTCGAACATTGAGTATTACAAAAAAAAATTATTAGAAAATATTTTATCTCTCTAAATTAATCTTACACAGCGTGAATTTGAATTAGTCAAAACAATACGTATATATATATATATATATATATATACACACCTGCATTTTGTGTTTGGGCTAAATGACTTGCATATGCCAGACAGAAACTTGGACCTAAAGCCCAAGTTGTCATCAGAATAAGAAGCAGATTAAAAGAGGAATTAGTGGTTGGGCTAAGCCCAATTATTAATTATAGCATTATTTGGTCAAAGCAAAAACAAATCTATCAAATTGTAATAACTATGACAATCTTGATTATTAAATGTTCATTATATATATAAATAAATCAACAGATAATGTACAAATCAATGTGTCTTTATCCCACTTTGATTGTAAAATCACTTGAATTAAAGTTCCTTCAGAAAAAAATAAAATTATTTACCAGCAACAAAGAAGGAAAATATACATTTCATATCACTTATTTTCTTTTTCTATTAAAAAAATAGAATAAAAGAGAAAGTAAGATAAAGGAGGCTAACTTATTTTAAAATTATTATTAAAAATAACAACTTACATAATTGTTGACCAAATTTCCAATCTTAAACAAAAATAAAGAAAAAGGAAGTTATTGTAAATTAATGATATTATAATTTTTGAAAATTTTAAAAAATTTATGTCCCTTGACAAGTGTGAGTTTTCCACTATAAATAAGGTCATTTTATTGTCACAAAATTTATATTTTTCATTTCAAGAAAAAAATGGCTATCAAATTTAATTCCATAATTGTGACTCTCTAAGTGGTGGTTGTCATCATTCTCCTCCATGTCTCCACCGCACAAGGCGGCTCATACCCACTCAACATAACGGACCCTAGAGTGATCGTGCTGGGACAATTTGCGGTGGATGAGCATAATAAAGAGGCCAAAACAAAATTAGAGTTTCGAGAAGTAATAAAAGGATTTGTTCGACCTCATCAAATGTTGTATTATGAGCTAATCGTCTATGCCAAGGACAATGATTCACTACATTACTATTTACCCGATTTACAGAGGGAAATAATAGGGTCGAAACCTTTTGTCCTCACTTTCTTCTAAGAATGTGACTCAGGAAATGAAAGCAACATAAGATGTAATCGTAATTAATTTAGTTAATCTGGACAAAGAATCTAATCTTTGAAAGAAATTTAATGTAACTTATAGAAGTTAGTGGCATCAATGAAATGAATCTTCAATTGATAAGAATCTTAAGTAAAATATACATA